TAGATGAGGAAACTGCAGCCTGGGGAGATTAAATGATTTATTCAAAGTCATTGACAACCTATGAGAAAAGTCCAGAACTTAAACATAGGTTCGACATAGTGGTTCTCAATTAATTTTGCCCATCAGGGGTCCCTTCTTAATGTCTGTTCACAGTTTGGGTTGTAACAACGAGGGGTGCTACTGGAATCTAGTGGGTAGAGTCCAGGGGTGCTGCCTCACACATGCACAGGATGGCTCCCAGAACACAGATTTGTCTGCTTCACAACGTTAGTAGTGCTGAAGTTGAAACTTCTAGCTGGACATCAAAGCCCATGCCTCTTCAGCTTCAATTGTTACCCCATACATGCCCACTCCTTTCTTTATTTCCATTTCATTATTTGAACAGACTGTATTTTTCTTTAATTGACTTTACGTGTTATACTTAAAGAACTAAGCTACACCTTCGCCATTTATGCCTTTGAGTTCATGTTTGATGTGTTTTTTTATTGAATACATATTGAAATAAATATAAAACTATTAATATGAAAAAGATCTTTGTTGGGAGTACCATCAAATATCATCTTCCCTACTACTACCAGTTGGAGAGAACTATACTTCAGACCAACTTTACTTCTACGAGGCTTCCCTTGTTTCTTCAGAATGAGACCATCAGATACATCAAATCAGGGCATTGCTTGAAACTGGCAAGGTGCTAGCTGCATCCTGCTTTGGTCTCATCTTTTTTTCTCTAGGCTAACAGTTGATTAACAACAATTCTTTCTGGTGGGGCCACAGCACATCTAATTTAATTTGTTGAGTTGCTTATGGACATTGGTCCCAACGTCCTGGTGAGCACACACTCTTTGCTACCCCACTCCTGTCTCTAATTGTCGGGGAGCACAACTGCACTCCCGTTGCAGCATCGACTACAGTCTGACATAATTAAGGCCACAGCAAATGAGATTCTTCTTTAGATATTAAAAGTGCCTGTGCTGTAAATAATCATGTCATTGTCTTTTTCACAAGAAGCACTTTCATTAAGGGCTGCATTTTAGTTCAACACATTTGCATGAATTCATTTTAGTAGTGGGAGGGGGCATTTGATGATGATTTTTCATTTTCCGTTTCCATAAACTTGCCAGGTGTTTCAGTTAGGTAGTTCACACGTCCTTCCACTCCCTGCAACCCCCAAGAACGCTGAGAGAAATGCCTTGGCATTCACCTGCTCCATGCAAGGGCACGGTCCCAATAATCAGGAGACAGAGACCATATTTACTGACTTGACATGCATAGAGAAAATCGACTTTTTCTTTGAAGAGTAAAATGAACCACAATGATTCCTCCCTCTTTCTGATATTTTTCAAAGGCGTGGGAAATAGGCTGGGGCATTTATTGCAGGGAGCAGCAGTGGCTACAGCAGGCCGGAGCAGGAAGCGAATTTGGGAAAAGCTCAAGGGGAAAAGGGCTTTAAGATTTAAAATCATTGGCTAATAAGCCAGGCAGGGTGGATCCCATCTGCCTCTTTCCAAAGCACAAACTCTGCACTCTTCTTGTCACAAACAGGGGGCAGTCTCTGTTAATTAAAGCCGGGAGCGGCAGCCAGAGTGAGTCTCCTCTGAGATCCCTCCTGAGCCAACTGTCCTGGTGATAGGCAGGATCTTACAGAGCTTGGAGGCAGATTTTGAAATGGACTTTTTTGTCCAGATTTTTTTCTTTTTCTCTCAAGTTTTTTTTTTTTTTTAAATCAAATTTAGAAGTGCTTTAAAATCCTCAACCCTTGTAGGGAAGATGTCTATGACCCATTAATCTACCGTGACCCTGGTTAATCTCCGCCTGGATGCTTGCTGGGAGATACCATGGTGGGTGGAATGGGGACAGGAGTGGCAGCGGGGCCCTGAATTAGGAGTCTGGCCTCTGCATCCAGCCCTGGATCACTTCCCATTTGCTCAACATGTGATTTCCCACATAGTACTTACACACAGGCAACCTGCTGGAGCACCCTTCCATTTCGGATTTAACATGTAGAAGTTTCCTAATCCCTTTATAAATGTCATGGCAGCAGGAACTTCATCATCCATGCCCTAAGTGTCCCTTTCCCCTCCTTGTTTAAGACAGAGTCTTACATAAAAGATCTTCATTAATATATCCCATAAATATTTTTTTAGTGCTGACCATGTCCAGCAAGCACTGTTCTAGGGGCCAGGGACATAGAGTCAAGGCCCTTTTGGATTTAGAGTTTACATCTCAATGTGGAAAACAGACAAAAACCATAAATGAATAAAGTAATATGAAGCAGCTAGAGAGATCAGAGGCCTATTTTATGCAATGGTTAGAACACAGGCCTCAGGCTCACATTTCTTGGGTCAAACGTCCACTTCCCATGCTCACCAGCTGAGGTACCCCTGGCAGCTGGTCTCACTGCTCTGGGTCTCAATCTCTCCCTGGGTTGCATGGGTCTGGTAACATGACCTAAGAGATGGAAAGTTACCTGAGATCAATCAGTCAGTGGTTCAGAAAATATTCCCAGATTGTCTGCTCTCTGCAAGGCATTGCTCTAAGCTTCTGTGAGGAGATGCTTTTAGAAAAAGAAGCTTAGTGGGTATGTTGCAAGCACTGAATCGGTGTCAGCCTTCATTAGCTCTCACACACCAATGCTTGTGTTTGTAGGATTCACAGGGTGGTGGGCGTGAGCTGCCAGTCATGGCACACTTACCATACCGTCCTATTTTGGGGAGCCTACTATAATGGCTCTGACGAATTTGGATTACACAATCCCATACCTTCTCCAGGTGGGTTTGGGATGTAGCACTCCTTGATATGCCCTATCTTTGTTGCTCTGGTGTGTATTTGCAAATTTCTTTCTAAACATCATAAAGTGATATTTCTTCAAAGAGAAGGGGATGATACAAAGTCCCTCTCACTTGGAGAAAATGTGCAATAGAGTCCCAATAAATCCTCCCACGCTGTTTCAATGCAGGAGACCCCGGTATATAATTTCACACGTGGCCCAACTTCCTAGGTCTTTGAGATGCCCTGAAAAGCCCTTGACTGCAGCCGAAAGGAGAGGAGGTTGGTGGAAACATCCTCTCTCTGCAATCGCCTAGCGGACTGCAAGTGTATACTTAGTTAAAGCAATTAAAAACAAAACGCCGGGGGTGGGGTGGGGGGTGGGTGGGGTGGAGATCTAAATTTGGTGTAGCAGCTTTGGTGCAAATCTTGTTCTGGGGGCTACTGGAGTCAAATTCAAGCAGAGGAGACAAAGAAGTGGGAGAAGGCCTGTGGATAGCTGGAAGCGCTAGAGAGAGGGGGCAGATTTGGAAACGCTGAGAGGAGACTGAAGGCTGGAAGCCAGAGGAAGCAAGGCCGAGCTCCGCAGCCCCCGGTGAGGATGTCCGGGGGAGGCGGGGTGCCCGTGGGGACAGGGGCCAGCCAGCTCCGGAGACCCATGCGCGGTCTCCAGGTCCGGGAGGGTGGCAGAGGCTGGGTGCCCAGTCCTTGCGCTGCGCCAGATCCGGGCGCGCAAAGGCGCCGCCACCGCTGTGTGCCCTCCTGTGGAGCGCAGGGAATGCTGCGGGGGCGAAGGGGGACAGACAGCGCCAGGTCCCGGGGCCTGGGGGAGTTCCAAGGAAAGACCTTCCAGGACATGCCATTACCTTGGCCTTGCCGTTGTCCCTTCCTCCCGCTAAGCTTCTTTGACTAGTTCACCCCAAGCCCCTCTCCCAAGGGTGAAAGGGTGCTTACCCCCGGCCCAGGGGGTTTCGACCTCTCCTGCCCAGCTCAGCCTAGGTCCTCGCCTCGGCCGGGAGAGTTGGGCCATCCGGGTTGTACGCAGAGCGGGAGGGCACAGGCGGGGAAGGGCAAGGCGGTCCCGCACGCCAGGGAAGGGCGATTCTGACCAGGCTGTGCCTAGTCTGCCTTGGAGTAAAAGCCATCTACTCTGTCCCCATTCTTCCCGAGCCACCCTTCCCTGGTGGGCAGATTCCGGCCGCAGCTCCGGCGCTAGCACCCCTGAAAAAGCCACGGGTTGAACCGCCTCTGCGCTCTGGACAGGTCTGCGCCGCGCCACCCTCTCAGAAAGGGCGCGGGAGGTCCCGCCGCTGTCCTCCACCTGCCGGGAAATCCGAGCTCTTCCTCCTGCCACAGCCGCAGCAGAGCTCGCTCCTCCCAACCCGCCCGCCTGCCTCAGCTCTGCACGCCCCC